CACACACACACACACACACACACACGCTCACACATATCGGTAGGTAGGTAGGTAGGTAGGTATTTCTATTATGCATACATAATATACATTATATAACATATATGCTCAACATAGTGTATTTATATATGTTTATATGTATATGCATATATATGTATTTATGTAGAGACACATGCCACATTAAAGTGCAAATAGTTGCAGAATGTGGAGAGGGCTGCTTTGGATGACATTGTTCTCTGGGATTAATTGTTCAGTTTTTGGCGGGATGAATTCCTTGACTTTTATTTTGAATATAAACCATCGCGTATCATATGGTATACTGATATAATCATACATCCAGATTTTCATAGGCAATACATTAATTGTTATACTGCTACTGTTTCACATAGAAATCAGACTCTCAGTAAAATTAAAATTATTTCCCTGAAATAATTTCACTTTATTGACCTCAACATACGGTAAAATATTTGCATCCAGATGATGCTGAACTACAGGCTGTAGACTTTGACTTCATACCACCTTTTAAGTGAGCCAGCATGATGGGAAAGTTGGAGAAAACCACAGGAGAAAAGCTGCCAGCTCTAGAAACCTTGGAAACTGAAGGTGTAATATTTCTTCCTCAGCTTTCATTCTGCTAAATTAAATATAGGTAAAGAAGAGAAATGCAGACATGGAAGTTAGGCATAATATTTTGAAGGAAAAGAGAAATATATGTAGAGGCTGGCAGGACTCCCAAAAAAAGTGTTAAAAGAGAAATTCAGGGAAAAGAAGTGGGAAGAACACAAAAAATTAGTAAAGTAGGATATCTTTCATGGATGTTTTTAGGGGGAAATGGTTGTGGCTTTTATGCTCAAGACAGTTGATAGAAAGTTGCTTTCTGTTTTAAATCTTGAGATGTCTCAGCTACTTTTCTCCACCACTTTTATCCTCACCAGTGCCACACACCTGAATACGGTGGCTTTGCAGCCACCCGGAGGAGGAAGGTGTGCCTGGACCTTGCCAGGTATCACACCAAAAAGCCACTGGTGGCACTCTGCAAGTGTGCGCTCGGCCATTGGGATTTGGCTTCATGTTATTAAGCAGAAGGCAATGTATGGCCCCAGACAGCATACAAAATAGCAATTCACTTCCAGTTCCTCTATGGGTGCTGTAGCGCTAATGAAGCAAATCAGATCTCAGGGAATATAGCCACGTATTTAGTGTGTGTATGAAACAGCTGTAATAAGATGTTGTTATGGCTGAAATTGTTATGTTTTAGTGGGAAAAAAGAATTAGGATTGAAATTGCAAAACAACACTGTTCCTATAAAATGTAAAAACGCGCTTGCATAAATGAAGGTTAATAGAGTTAATTGTGGTGAGCAATACAAGGCAGCAACTGATGCTAGAGAACATCGCTGTGATTCAGGTAAAGGTGAATTGTAATTAAATGGAGGTTGGATAAACATGATTATCCTGGAAAGTTTTCCTAGCACAGTACCAGGAGGTTTTAAGATGCAGAGGCAGACGCACGTACGTGATCTGGTAGCAGAGACGGCACCGCCGCCAGCCCCCCCAGGGGTGCTCCACTGCTGCGGCACGTTGCCCACGCTGCTGTGCCGTGTGGCAACACGGACAACAACGGCAATAACTGGCAATAAACTGAGTTAATTTTGAAGTCTATTTTGCCTGTGGCTGTAATAGGCAAGTGGTCTCCCTGTCTTCATCCCAAACCCCAAGATTATTCCTTCCTACTGTTCCCCGTTTCCACCCCCATCCCGCCGTGGGAGGAGCAGCTGGGTGGGAGTCTGGGTACTGGGCAAGGCTGACCTGCCAAATACAGCTCTGGGCTGGAGAAGGTGAGGGCATCCCACCCCTCATCCAGAGGGACAGGGGTGCACGTGCCCTCCCCACACCATCACCTCAGGCAAAAGCCCATATCAAAGTACGTACAGCAAACTTTTATACAGAGGGGTAAATATTTATACTTGCCAGATAATTATAAGCTTGCTTACTGTGTTTTTTCTGTAACTGGTATTATTTTTTATATGGACATTTCAAATGAAATGTGGTAGTTTGGTACTGAACTCTGAGAGGATATAAACCTGTACCTGATCCACAGCAAGAGAGACCTTCCGAACTGAACTGCTTTACTGAAACACGTACTTGTGCTTATTTCTTTTATTTGTTGAGTTACAACAGTTCCTTGATGACCTGTATGAGATGAAGGGAATCAGATGTATGCCTCCTAGGTCAACCACAAGACTTCCAAAAAAGCTTGCTTTCCTCCCCCCCCCCCCCCCCCCC